AGAGACGAAACGTTTCTACATTTTTTGTTGTTTTGCTTTGTTTTGGGGTTTTTTTTTTATGTCCAGAGGACCAGATTTAACTTTTTTAGATTTTTCTACCTGGATTATTGAGCATGCATCAGGATACATATTTAGTTGTTTTTTCATAAAGGATGATGTCCACAGGACTTTTTTTTAATACAGGTTTTCTCTTTATATTTCTAAACACTGAGCCAAGAAACCTCAGTACATTAGTTTGAGTTGCTAATAAAAACTAATATCATACCCCGTCCTCCGAAAAAGCAGAAGGAGGAATTGTTGTGTTACTGCTGTCAGCAAATATGGTTCCATTGTTCACATCGGTTCCCAGGTTTGTACTCTGATTGGTTTTGGAGGTCCACTTAGCCAGCCAGTAATCAATGGTAACAATGACTGAGTGTTTCAGGAGTTGTGAAGAAACCATCAGGAAGACCATGAAGAATCCACCAGAGGATAGGTAACACCAGCACACCTGAACACACAAAGAGACATTAACAAGTACAAAAATGACAGATCTTAAACTATCATCATCAATTGATAACAAATAAAAAACTTCTAAGTACCGGTACTGTCTTTGATTATATGCAAATTCTGAAATTAGAAAGATTTGAGATTTTAAGTTGACTGGAGGCAACAGTTCAGTCCAGATCTTTTAGTTTCTTAATCTAGTCATATTACATCTTTATTTCTCCTAGTCAAAGTTTATTTTTAAAGAGCTAAAACAGATAAAATATTTGTTCATAAGTTTTCCACAGAACCCGCTTCAAAATGTCTGAACTTTACCTTTGAATTTATCATCAAAGATTAGAAAGAGACTGAAACACTTCATGCTGGTTTATAGTCCCCTGAAGCGGAGCAAAGGCCATGCTGGTTAAGAGCATAATAACTTTAAAAAAAAACAAGCAACCTGCCAACTTCCTGTTTGGTGTGTGGTTTCATCTAGACTAGTCCTGTTAGACCTCAGTGCTGCATTTGATACAGTTGATCACAATATGTTACTACAGAGGCTTGAATATGATATTGGGAATACAGGAACAGATCTAAAATGGTTTAAATCATATTTATCTTATAGACTCCAATTTGTAAATCTAAATAATGAATCTTCTTCATAAACCAAAGATAGTCATGGAGTTCCTCAGGGTTCAGTGCTTGGACCAATACTCTTTACTTTATATATGTTTCCATTAGGTAATGTTATTAAATAGCAGGGGATAAATTTTCATTGTTATGCTGATGATATACAGTTGTATTTGTCAATGAAATCCAATGAATAAAATCAGTTACTTACATTACAATAATGTCTTAAAGACATAAAAACTTAGATGACCCTTAATTTTCTGCTTTTAAACTCATACAAGACAGAGGTTGTGGTTTTTGGCCCTGAGCATCTTAGGAATAAGTGTTGCAGTCTTTAATTTTATCTGGATGACATTAATTTGGCCTCCAGTTCCAAAGATAAAAATCATGTTGTTATTTTTGATCAGGATATGTCTTTTAACCCCCATGTTAAAAAGGTTGCCAAAACCGCTTTCCTCCACCTGCATACTTTCACTAAAATTAGAAACATCCTGTCCAAAAACAATGCAGAAAAACTAGTCCATGCAGTTATCACGTCTAGGCTGGACTAATGCAATTGTTTACTATCTTCGTGTCCAAAAGGGCAGCAAGGTGGCACAACTGGTGGAGCTGCTGCCTCTCAGCGGCAGGTTAATTTGGTTCAAATCCCGGTCCGGGGGTCTTTCTGGATGGAGTTTGCATGTTCTCTCCATGCATGCATGGGTTTTCTCCGGGTACTTGGGTTTCCTCCCACAAACCAAAAACATGCACGTTAGTCTGATTGGTAACTCTAAATTGCCCCTAGGTGTGAGTGAGAGAATGGATGGTCGTTTGTCTCATTTGTCTCTATATGTCCCTGTGATGGACTGGAGACTTGTCCAGGGTGTACCCCGCCTCTCGCACAGTGATTGATGGACATGGGCACCAGTGACCCCCGTGACCCAAAAAGAAAGAAGCGGGTAAAAGAGAATGGCTCTATGGGTGTCCACAAACTTCTTTAAAACATCTTCAGTTGATCCAAAATGCTGCTTCCAGAGTCTTAACGGGAGTTAATGGGAGAGATCATATTTCTCCAGTTTTAGCTTCTCTCCATTGGCTCTCTGTCAAGATCAGAATAGAATTCAAAATCCTACTTCTAACCTACAAAGCTCTCAACAACCTAGCTCCATCTTATATTACAGATCTTATTGTTCCATATTTTCATAACAGAGCACTTTGCTCTCAGACTGCAGGCTTACTTGTGGTTCCTAGAGTTTCCAAAAACAGAATGGGAGGAAGATCTTTCATTTATCAGGCTCCTCTCTTGTGGAACCAACTTCCAGTTTCTGTCTGTGAGGCTGACACATTATTCAGTTTTAAGACTGGGTTTAAGACTTTCCTTTTGGATAAATCCTATAGTTAGGGTCGGCTTGAGTTTCCTGAGCTATCCCTTAGTTATGCTGCTATAGGCTGAGACTGCTGAAGGACAAACTGACCACATTTCTTCACTCTGCTGCTGTCTTTACTTACTCTACTCAGCCTATTTTGTTTTGTATTTGTAATTTTTTCTATCCTTGACATGTGTTTTTTTTTTACCAATAGGCCGTACATCTGCACCGACATCTGGACCTGCCATTCTGTGTTTGTCTGTCTCTCCTTCCTGTCCTCTCAAACCCAGCTGGTCAAAGCAGATGGCTGCTTGTCCCAAGCCTGGTTCTTCTGGAGGTTTCTTCCCGTTAAAAGGGAGTTTTTCCTTTCCACTGTTGCCTTTGTGCTTGCTCAGGATGGAAGACTGCAACTAAGTGAAGATTTAACAAGTCTACTGCTTCCTTAGATAGAAAACTTTACTAACTGGCTTTTCTATGTATGCAAATGTTTCTGTTCAGTGCCCTGAGACAACTTTGTTGGGAATTGGCGCTATATAAATTAACTTAATTGAATTGAAATCCAAGTGTAAAAAGTCACTATTAGTCACTAAGACTGGTATATCGACTAGCCACTTGAATATCTTGCACCAAAAACATTCAGGTTTACATGCATTATCAGTTCAATACCAGTCCAGACAAACACTCATCTTGAAAACAACAAACATTCACTTTTCAAACCCTCAGCGACGAGGGACATCAACACACCCCTTGTTTATTTCTACTAATGTTATTGAAAAGTTCAGGCATTAATCCCTTACCGAATGTATGTACAGTATATCCAAATAATCAATTGCATTTTTATGCTCTAACAACTTTCAATAAACTCTTTGGAAATGTCATGCTGAGCAGCCATTAGCTGTAACTGACAACACTATTATTTACAGGTATTACCTTCCAAGGGATCTTTGATCGCCTGGTGGTGGTGGTGGACCAATTATCATCATCTTCTTCTTCCTCTTCTTCTTCTGTTGGTAATAAATATCCAATTTATTTGATCTTAAGTAGCATATTTAGACTTGAGTGACAAAATGTGTTAAATTTAAGGTCAAAATGTCCAAGTACTTCAATACTTTGTGTCAAAAAACGTCTGTGTTCAATAATTAAAACCAACGTACCACCAGGACATCTAAAAGTTTTGTCTAGAAAGTTTTTATAATGGCAATTTAAAAAAAACTCTAACCTTCATCTTCATCATCTATTTGATTCTTGGGCTCTCTGGAGTAGAATGCTCTCCTCAGTGTTTTCCTTTCAAGTGTTGTTTGACTGTCCTGCTGAATGTCCTGCAAAGACACCAACCATACAACATGAAATCTACTGAGATGTTCCAGTGACCTTCAATTACCTGAGATTATACTTGGACGTTTATCAATTACCAAACGTGGACGTTTCTTTACTTTCAAGTTTCTTTGGATAGAAGTATAACAAATTGCTCTATAATGTAATATTTTATTTTGAGGTGAACTTGAGACGTTACCTTCTCCAGCTCCTGGTCCTGTCTGTTCATCAGAGTCTTCCAGTGGTCATAAAGTTCTGTGTCATGAGTCTGAATGTCTTTCAAGGTTCCCTCTCTGAGGACTGAGCCATCCTTCATCGCTATGATCTAGATAGAAAACATGATGCGGTCAAGGAAAACTAATTAATAAGTCAAGGACTTTACAGCTTAGGACATAAGCTGATGTCTTTAAATGGGAATGTATATCACATGAGATATTACACTTTCAATATTCCATCTCCATCTTCTACCGTGTATCTGTAGTCAGGTGCTGGAGGCGACAGGTCTAGGAGAGAAACCCAGACATACACAGCAACACTTTTGTATCTCCTCCTGGGAGATCCTGAGGTGTTCCCCGGCCAGAGAAGATACCCAATTCATCCAGTGAGGTTTGAATCTGCCCCAGGGCCTCCTACCAGTGGGATAAGCCTGGAAAACCTCTGAAGGGAGACATTCAGGAGGCACCACCTCAACTGACTCCTTTTGATGAGAAGGAGCAGTGGCTCTACTCTGAGTTCCCCCCGGATGACGGAGCTCCTCACCTTATCTCTAAGGCTGAGTGCGGCCACCTTTGAATGAAGCCCAATTCGCCCGCTTTTGTCTGGGATTGTGTTCTTTCAGCCTTGATCCAAACCTCATGACCATAAGTGAGGGTCGGAATGTAGACAGACCATAGACAATCGAGAGCTTTGCCCTTTGACTCAACCCGTTCGGTTCTGCGGGGAAACCTTGAATGTTCTCTGTCTGCCGGATCCAGTTCTGGAGGGCAGTCGGTGAGGGCAGCTGCTGCAGTTCTTATTATCATCAAGCTGCTAATGAGACCTGCTAATGCTGCTAACAAGACCATGCTGCTAACAGTACCATGCTGCTGTACATGTATTTTTTTTTCCACTTTTGGAACGTTGATTTTGTATTTTTGTGGCATGCTTTGGTATTTCTTGTTGTTTTTTGGTGAGTCAAGACAGTTCTTCTTGCCCTCAGCATTTCATTGCATTGTTGACCTTGTGTTGATTTGCATTTTGCATATGACAAATAAACCAAACCTGAACCTGAAACCTGTATCAACTCTTGCTTCACCACGACTGACTGAAGCAACATCCTCATTACTGAGAACAAGGTCCCGATCCATCAATCCATCTCCTGCTCCATCCTACCATCTCTCAGGAACAAGAAGATACTTGAACTCATCCAACTGAGACAAAGACTCCCTCACAACCTGGAGGTACATTCCACCTGTTTCCAGTTGGGTTCAGTTTCAATATCTATTTAAACAAAAACAATAAGCAATGTGTGTCCAGTTTATGATCCAGCAGCTTGTAGAACCAACATGAGCAGCAATAACTTGTTGTTTTCTGTTGGACTATCAGTCTCACATCATTATCAAGGAATCTCGGCCCACTCTTCTTTATAACAGGACTTCAGCTCATTGAAATTTGCAGACGTCTGTTTCTATGCAGCTCTTTTAAGGTCCCACCACAGCATTTCAATCAGCTTCAGGTCAGAACTTTAGACCATTGCAAAACCGTGATTATTTTGTTTTCAGCGATTTCGTTGTAGCTGCTGCTGTTGTCCAGTTTCATGACGTAATTTCAGCCATATTTATGTGTTGGACTGATGGCATGTTTGACTCTAGATTACTTTGACATGCAGAAGAGTTCATTGTCGACTCATTAACTGCAAGGTTCCCCATCTTGTGGCGGTAAAACACACCTAAATAACCATTCCTCCACCTCTGTGCTTCATAGCTGATATGTTGGTTTTCTCTACTGATGCAGGGCAGGACAGCCAAACAGCCTTACTCTGGTCTCATTGGTCCAAAAAGCATCATTTCAGAAATCTTGTGCTTTGCTCAATAAAACTTTACAAATGTTTGTTTACATGCCATGTTGTTTTTACAGAGAAGAGGCTTTCTCCTGGAAACTCTTCCACATGTGGAAATCTTCTCTCACTGTAGAATAGTAGACATTAAAATAGATTGAAACTGGTGTTCACAGATTGATAATTAGTAACAACTGCTTCTCTAAAATCATTGCTTATCTCTTACCAGCTTGGAATTGTGTTAACACAGATGTTAGAACAGCAAGGTGGAAGTGGTCAAACTTGCTGATAACCAGGTAATTGATTAATTATATTTCATAGATCCTGATTAATCTATACTGCACGCTTTCTGCCAAACAAACACAAAAGAAAATGTCATATACAGTAGTCCCTTATTTACCGCAGGGGTTTTCGTTCTCAGTGTCCCCGCGATAAGTGAAAAACGTTGGTTACGTACTGTAACCCCAGATTCTTTGAGTATAGGCACAGCCCTTTAAGGTTATTGTTAGTGGGTTTATCCCTTTGAGCGCAGCGCAGCACTGAAAACTTTAGTCCACGCCCACCTGCTGTGTGGGCCCCACCCCCGGTCCATATAAATCACGGTGAGACCGGGCAATTGGCTCCCAAAAAGCTTTTTTCTTCAGCCATTTAGGAACCGGTGAGGCCCAGAGCTTAAAAGGCTATGCCTATACTCATAGAATCTGATGTTACAGTATGTAACCAACGTTCTATTTCATATAGACTTCGCCCTTTAAGGCTATCACTAGTGGGTTAAAGGCGAAGCAGGATGTAATCTATGCCTCACTGGGTCCATTCAGACACAACATGAAGCACCTGCTTGCACAAAAAAACATTTCATCACGCAGCCTTCTGTGTGCGTAATTACGCGCTGCATAATTACGCGCTCCATGCGCAGGTACGCAACGGAGAAAAGATCTCTGGTGAGGAAAAAAAGGCTGAGATAGCGGACCTGCTGCTGTGAATAGGAACAATGGAGGTTACGAATTGTAACAGTGTAACAATGAACAGATCAGAGCAGGCCAACAGATCCTCAGGATGAACCGATTAATAACAATAAAATCAGCAGTTCTGAACTTGTGACTGATAATAAATATCTCACACTGCGACTGCATGCAGGCAGGTGTGAGCTCAAAAGTGAGGATCCATGAAACAAATAATCATTCTGACAGAACCCTGAGAACAGAATGGGTCATGGAGAAAGTAGAAACATCACATAGATAAAAATGAATAATTGAACATGGCAATGACCAGGCAGCCACCATACAAATATCCTCCACTGTCATCCCTCCATGCATAGCCATGGAGGATGAAAACCCTCTGGAGGAATGTGCTCTGAGTTTCTCTGGAGGATCCAGCCCAGATGAACTGTAAGCTTCAGAAATAGCCTCACACAACCAGTGTGAGAGGCGCTGAGTGGCTAGAGGGCGTCTTGAAGAGCTGTCCCTGTAATGCACGGAGACGTTGAGAGTGGCTCAGTGCGGCCGTGTGTGCCACGCAACACGAAAACGCGCGCACGGAACAGAAGAGGTGAGATGTTGCTTCCTCCTCAGAATTATGAGGAGGAGGATAAAACCCATCCAAGGTTATCACTCTCGATCTGAATGAGCTTGTGATGCTTTTCAGAGCAAGGTTAAAACGCAGTACAGCTGAGCTGCCGTCAGCTTGAATTCTGAGACATGAGGGAGCAACAGAGAGAGCAGATAAATCACTCACTCTCTTTGCCGACGTCAGAACTAACAGCAAGAGTGTTTTAAATGACAGAAATTTAAGTGAAACCTGATCTAAAAGCTCAAAAGGAGCTTTGATCAGAGCGCGCAGGACCATCATTGGGTCCCACTGTGGAGCTAGTGGACGTGATACAGGTCTGTGCCTCTGTACACCTTTCAGAAAAACTCTTCATCAGCGGGTGATTAAAAACTGTTCTGTCACCAAAAAACCTCATGACAGGAAGAAATAGCTGCAGCATAAGTTTAAATTGTGCTGAACGCTAAATTTCTGTCCGTCAGTCGCTGTAGAAATGACAGCACGCCACCTAGTGGACATGAGATGGCCTCCACGCCTTTCTCTGCGCACCAGCGCTGAAAAACTGTCCACTTGATGTGTACAGCGCTGTGGTAGAAGCGGCTTGTGCACCCTGAATTGTACGCACCGCATCTTGTGGGAGGCACATCTTTTCTCACAGGGACAGCAGGAGGTCGTTGTGGCGGTGACCCAGGCATCCTTCGCAAAACTTGTGCCGGTCAAAGTTGGACATCTTTTCCTTCTTCGTTCTTCTGACAGTGCTAGCTAGCTGGCTGAAGATAAAAGGGAGCTGATTGCCTGGTCTCACTGTAATTTATACGGACCGGGGGTGGGGTCCACACAGCCGGTGGGAGCGGACTAAAGTTTTCAGTGCTGCACTGCGCGCGAAGGGATAAACCCACTAGCGATAGCCTT